TTTTGCCCATAGAATCCTTCAGTATTGCAACTTGAGGCTTGAATTTTTTCTTCAGTTCTTTCAGCTTGAGAAATGTCAAATGTGTTCCTCCGTTTTGGTTTCCTAACTCCAGGTCTTTGCACATTTCATTATAGTAATTGGCTTTGTCTGCTCAAGCTGCTCTTTGAAATCTTCTTTTCAGCTCTTTTATCTCATCATTTCTTCCATTCACTTTAGCTACTCTCCTCTCAAGAGCAAGTTTCAGAGTCTCTTCTGAGATCCATTTTGGTCTTTTCTTCCTTTCCCATCTTTTCAATGACCTTTTGCTTTCTTCACGTATGATGTTCTTGGTGTCATACTACAATTCATCTGTTTTTCAGTCATTGGTGTTCAATCCATCAAATCTGTTCTTCAGATGGTTTCTAAATTAAGGTAGGATATAATCAAGGTCATGTTTTGGCTCTTGTGGACTTGTTTTAATTTTCTTCTGCTTCAACTTGAACTTGCATGTGAGCAATTGATGGTCTGTTCCACAGTCAGCTCCTGGCCTTGTTTTGGCTGAAGATGGAAGCTTCTTCATCACCTCTTTCCACAGATGGAGTTGATCTGATTCTTGCATATTTCATCTGGTGAGGTCCAAGTGGATAGCTGCCGTTTATGCTGTTTAAAAAAGGTATTTGCAATGAATAAGTTATTGATCTTGCAAAATTCTGTCATGCGATCTCCAACATAATTTCTGTCAACAAGGCCATATTTTCCAACCACCAGTGATTCTTCTTTGTTTCCAAATTTTGCATTCCAATCACCAGTAATAATCAATATATCTTGAGTGCATGTTTGGTAGATTTCAGACTGCAAAATTTGGTAAAAATCTTCAACTTCTCCATCATTTGGCTTTTGTGGTTGGTGTGTAAGTTTGAATAACAGTCATATTAGCTGGTCTTCCTTGCAGGTGTATGGATATTATCCTATTACTGACACCATTGTACTTCAAGATAGATCTTGAAACATTCTTTTGTGACAATAAATGTCATGCCATTCCTCTTCAATTAGTCATTCCCAGCATAGTATATCATATGATTATTTGATTCAAAATGGTCAATACTAGTGAATCTCAGCTCACTAATGCCTAGGTATCGATCTTTATGCATTCCATTTAATTTCTGTCAGTTTCCAATTATCTTAGATTGATATTTCATACATTCTATGTTCTGATTATTAATGGGTATTTGCAGCTATTTTTCCCCATTTTGAGTGGTGCCCCATCAGCAAATGGAGGTCCTGAAAGCTTTACTCTGTGCATGCCATTAAGGTCAACTCTACTTTGAGGAGACAGCTCTTCCTCAGCTGTATTTTGAGTGCCTTCTGACCTGAGGGACTCATCTTCCAGCACTATTTCAGAAAATGTTTCATGGCTATTCATAAAGTTTCCCATTAATATATCAGACAGTATTTCACTGCTATTCATAAGGTTTTCACTGACCAATTTTTTTTCTTTCTTTTCTTTTAAGATCTGGATGACCCATTCCTTCTTCCCAGTCTGTCTTAGTCTGGAAACTCCACTGAAACCTGTCCACCGCAAGTGACCCTGTTGGTATTCCAAATACTGGTGGCATAGTCTCCAGCCTCATAGAAACATAGCAAGCCACCACAGTATGACAAACTGACAGATGAGTCGTGGGGTCAATGCTATAATATATACAATTTGGCAACAACAGCAGTAACAACCAAAAAGTATGTGAGTGGTTATAAAGGTAGATATATATGCATAAATGAGTATAGCAAGGTATATGTGTGCATATACGTGTCCATATGTAAGTGTTTTTGTAGGCATAGACATATACATGTTTGTGTGTGCTGCACATATATTCATATATATAATAAAGTACATAGGAGACATAGTAATGGTTACTTCCCAAATATAACTGAACACTTTGCAGATCTGGTCTACTGGATTTGAAGGCTTAGGATCATAGTCTCATGAGATAACTCAGTGAATTGGCACAACGTAGTCTATAAAATTTATGTTCTACATCCTAGAATGGTAAGCAAGGTCTGAGGTCTTAAAAGTTTGTGAGTGACCATCTAAGATACAACTATTGATCTCTACTTGTCTAGAGTAAAAGAAAAAGAAGGAAACCAAAGACCCAAAGAAGAATCTAGTCTATAAGACAAATTGCTACATGAACCATGACCTTACCTAATCCAGAGATCAGAAGAACTATGTGGTACCTGGCTACCACTACCAACCATTCTGACCAAGGACACAACAAATGACCCCCAACAGAATGGCACAAAGTTGTAGAACAATACTCTAATTTTTTTTTTTCTTTTCTTTTTTTTTAAATAAAGGCCAGATTTAACTTCAACCAGGAGAGACTAGTGGAACCCCTGAGACTATTGTCCTGAAATACCCTTTAAAATTTGAACTGAAAATACTCCTGGAGGTCACCTTTCAGCTAAATAACTGACTGGCTCGTAAAATAAACATTATAACCTGTGACTACTGTGCCTCTTTTCTTTTCTTTTTAATCATCTATATGAGACCAAATTGTTAACATTTACCCTAAAGCACAGATGAAAAATTCAAGGGGGGATGGGAAGTGGAACAACCAGAATGGAAATATGGAGAATGTTGATACAATGTGAAAAATGTAACCAATGCCACTGAACAAATGTATAGAATTGTTAAATGGAAACCTAATTTTCTGTGCAAACTTTCAGCAAAAATTCAATAAAATATTTTAAAAAGAAAAAAAAAAGATTATAGCCTAGGAAACCCTACAAGACAGTTCTATTCTGTCATATAGGGTCATTATGAGTTGGAATTGACTTGATGGCACAAAGCAACAGCAGTGGGTGTGAAATGGTATCTCACTGTGGTTTTGATTTGCATTTCTTAATGACTAATGATGCTGAGCATCTTTTTATGTGCTTTGTGGTCATTTGTATATCTTTGGAGAAATGTCTATTTAAATCCTTTGCTTGTTTTTGAATTGGGTTGTCTTTATATTGATGAGTTTTAAGAACTCTTTATATAGTCTGGGTACTAGTTCCTTCTCATATATATGACATATTTTATATTTTATATATTTGCACATATTTTCTTCCATTTCATGGATTGTCTTTTCACTTTCTCAATGGTGTCCTTCGAAGCACAAAAGCTTTTACTGTTGATGAAGTTTAATTTATCTACTTTTTTCTTTTGTTGCTTGTGGTTTCAGTGTTCTACTTAAGAAACTTAATACCTTTGAAGAGATTTATAGTTTTAGTTCTTACATTTAGGTCTTTGATCTACTTTGGGTTAATTTTGTATATGGTTTGAGGCAGAGGTCCAAATTCATACTTTTGCATGCAGGCATCCAATTATTCCCATATCATTTATTTGACCCATTGAATGATCTTCGTACCCTTGTTGAAAATCAATTGACCATAAATGAATGGTTTTATTTATGCACTCTCAATTTTATTCCATTGATCTATATCTATCTATCTATATACCCTCATGCTGGTACCACATTGTTTTGATTACTGTAGTGAGTTTTGAAATCAAAAAGTTTGAGTCCTTCAACTTCTTTTTCAAGATTGTTTTGGCTATGTATGACCATGAGACCAGGAGAACTAGATGGTGCCCAGCTACCACTGTCAACTGCTCAGAAAAGGATCAGTGCAGGAGATCTTGGACACAGTGGGAGAACAATGTGGAACAAAACTCAAAATCATTAAAAAAAAAAAAAAAAAAACAGGTTTACTGGTCTGATAAATTCATTCATTCTGATAGAGCCTGGTGAGACCCCCAAGACTCTAGTTACCTTTCAGGCCTGGAAATGAACTCACTACCATGGCTCCCAGCCAAACAATAGACAGGCATATAGGGTGAACATTATATCAGGTAGATACACTCCTTAGAACAATCAATCATGGGAGAAGAGAAGGTCAGTATTTGCACAGGGAGATAGCTCAGGGGGCAGGAACGCATAGGAAAGAAGGACACAGGGAAGAGGTAACTACAGGGAGGAAGTGGGAAGAGAGCTGTTACATTGTGGGGAATTTCAGTAAATGTCATGAAACAAAATGTGTATGAACTGCTGTATGGAAAGGGAGGCTGAGAAATTGAATATTTGGCATTTGGTTCCAGTTGGAATGGGGAAATGGTCAATGAGACTTATGATGTGGGGAAACCTCCAAACACAGAGAGGTTCAGATGATCAGTGGCCAAAACAAATGACAAATGTCAGTGGCATGTCACACAGAAAACCCAGTTATTTTCTCATATGGTAAGCAGCTCAGAGAGGCAGTTCAAGGCTAGGGCAGCAACATGATTCTGTCATCAAGTTCTGTCTGGCTAGCATATGAGCTTGTTGCCTAGTGGAACCCAAGTAGCACCCCCAGCCAGCACATCTGGATTCAAGATAAGAAGAAGGGGCAAAGCTGTGTCTTTTCCCCCGTTATGAGGAAGGCAAAAGCTCTTCTAGACATCCTCAACAGACATTCACTTATGTCTCACTAACCAGAATTGTGTTACAAAGCCAACCCTGGAGATGAGGGATGGAGGGAAATTATTTAATCGAGCAGACTGCTTCCCTTCTACCCCCAAGTGTATTTTATAACAAAAAGGAAAAATAGAGATGAAATGAGTAATGGGCATGGTTTGCTTCGATTATCACTGGGCCTGAAAGGGTGGTTGGAGTCACCAACCTTCTTCCTATGTTTCTCTAATTTCTTATGGTCTCAAAGCCACCCTCATAGCCTCTCAGTCCCCAGTACCTATGGGGGAGGGGTGGGTTTGCAGTCAAAAGCCATGGTCCCTCGAAGCAGCCAGAACAGACTGCAAACAGCTCTCCTGAGGACCCCCAACCCCTATTCTCCTTAGCTTCTGTGATGTCACACTGGGGCTTCTTTCCTTCCACTCTCGGCTGTGGCTTCCGAGGTAGCTGTGACCATGGGGTGCTGGGAGCCAGCAGGAGGGAAGGAGCCCGCGGGTGGCTCTGTTCTCCCCTGGGGGCATAGGAGGCCCAGCCATGCCGCTCTTGAAGGATGCTATGCCCCTCATGAAGGAGCCCCCACTACAGGCCCCACTTCCCTGGGTCCTCCCGAGCCTGTTTGCTGCCTTCAATGTAGTGCTGCTGGTCTTTTTCAGTGGCCTCTTCTTCGCATTCCCGTGAGTCTCCCACATAAGTTGCCAGGTTTCGCATTCCCGTGAGTCTCTCACATAAGTTGGCAGGTTTCTTACAGAAAAACAGAAAGGAAAACAGATCGTCATTATAGTATAGGTGCATGACAAGTGCAGAAGAGGGGTCAGGAGTCAGAGGGAGGAACAGAATTTCCTCTGTTGGGCAGGGAACAGAATGTGCAAAGGCACAGTGGTATGGAGTACCTGATGCATCTGGGGAGCTGCCAGTGGCTCGTAATGCTGGTGACATTTGGCAGAGCCACTGTGGGTCTGTCACTAGCCTGAATATTTATAGCAGGCCTTAAGATATTCTGTGGTCCTGACCTAAGAATACTGCCCTGGAAGAGCTTCAGGTAGCTCTAGATCCGGGCTGAGTTTGGCTTTGGTCTCAGTTGCAGGTGGCTAGCCCAGAACGGGGAGTGGGCTTTTCCCATCATTACAGGCCTCCTCTTTGTCCTCACCTTCTTCAGTCTCATTTCCCTCAACTTCTCAGACCCCGGCATCTTGCATCGAGGTGAGGTCCCCTGGGAAAAGGAGGTGGTGCTGTAAGGGCTGGTACCTAGCAGGGATGATCCCTAATGAGCTCCTTACATCTCCCTTCCTGGGCCTCAGGATCCTCTACCCTACACAGGCCCTGCTCCTGGCATTTCATTTCCCCAGCCACTGAGGTGTGAAAAAGAGAATTCTGGAGCTTTTCTAGCTGCTTTGGAGACAGACAGGGGAGGGAAGTCAGCTCTATGCAAGCACTCTCTGCTCTCTTCCTCCTTAAGCATCAACCACAGTCCCAAAGGCCTGAGTTCTATAGACAGCTCCCCGGAGTCCCACCTCCTCGCTCGCTCCTTGCCAGCCTCTCTGAGCTTGGCCAACTTGCTCAATGGAGACTCCTCTGCCCACCTTCTCCTCCCCACCTTCCTGGTGTCCAGTGATGCCGTGTGCTGCACCCCCCCCCCCAACCAGGTAGCACAGTGGATGATCTCGGGGCCTGTTGCACCTCCCAGCCTTCCCCCGATCTTCTCCTTGCTCCAGGCTCCGATGATCAGGGCCCCATGATGGTGCATGTGGTGTGGGTGAACCACAGGGCCTTCCGCCTGCAGTGGTGCCGAAAATGCTGCTTCTACCGCCCACCCCGAACCTACCACTGCCCTTGGTGCAACATCTGTGTGGAGGTGAGCACCACCTCTGCCCCCATGGCAGCTGGCCAAGGCCAGGAGTCTCACTCATCCAGGAGCCAGGGGCAGGTGTGGAATCATCTTCAGGAACTGCTTAAGGCCAAGGGTGGCAGAAACTCTCAGCCACTGAGTCAGTCATGCCAGTCACTGCCTCCGGGCTGGCGTGCACCTGTGTTGGGAGGCTGGTCTTACCCACACAGGTGCTGACATACCCAGGGGCATCTACATCTATGCTAGTCAGGCCAGGGGAGGAAAGCAGCCCCTGCCCAGTTCCCAGGATTCCTAGCCAATGACGCCCAAGGCCCTCAGAGGAGGGGTTGGGTGCAGGCTCTTCTGGGAGCTTTGCCCATCCTCCTCTTGTAGTTCAGGCTATAGGGGCTCCTGGTTGTTCCCACTGGGTCATAGCCCACAAAGGTTTACAAGGGTACTGTCTTCTCTGGTTCTTACAACCCTGAGAGGCTGGCTAGGCAACCGTCATCTCAACTAATGAAACAGATGTGAAAACAGAGATCCAGAGATGGTCTATGTTCTGCCTAAAGTTACACCAGGCTGTGTCTCACAGAAGACCAGGCAGGCCTTTGTCTCTAAAATGCCTGGTGAAGTCGACATTTTTTTTTCTTTTTAAAATTTTTATTGTGATTTGGGTGAAAGTTTACAGAGCAAATTTATTTTCCATACAGCAGTTCATACACATTTTATCTCATGACATTGACTGCAATTCCCCACAGTGTAACAGCTCTCTTCCCACTTCCTCCCTATAGTTACCTCTTCCCTCCGATGCACTTCTGCCCCCAGAGCTGTCTCCCTGTGCAAACACTGCCCTTCTGTTCTCCCATGATTGATCTCTCCAAGGAGTGTATCTACCTGAAGTAAATGTTCACCCCATATGCCTGTCTACTGTTTGGCTGGAAGCCACAGGAGCAGGTTCAATTCCAGATCTGAAAGGTGGCTAGGGGCCATAGTCTTGGGGGCTTCACCAGACAACAGCCAACCTTGTGAGCTATAGAGCCCTAACCAAGCTCTAACCACAAAAATGCCAACCTTACTGACTGTGTGGCTCAGTTTCTCCCTGGGTTGTGGGAGCCAGTAGGTGGGTCCAAGGGCAGGTCTGAGGTAGCCTAGAAGGCCTCACAATTTTGGGATCCCTGGGAGTTGGGTCAGGGGCCCTGGTGGCACAGTGGTTAAAGCCCTCCTCTACTAACCAGAAGATTGGTGGTTCTAACCTACCAGTCTCTCTGCAGGAGGCAAATGGGGGAGTCTACTTCCATAAAGATTACAGCCTGGGAAACCCTATAGGGCAGTTCTACTCTGTCCTATGGGATCGCTATGCCAAACTCAATTGAAGTGAGTTTGGTCCTGGTTTTGGGGGGGTTGGGCCAAAGGACTGGTTCTCCAGGCCTAGCCTCTCTCACTCCCAGGATTTTGACCACCACTGCAAGTGGGTCAATAACTGCATTGGTTACCGCAACTTCCGCCTCTTCATGCTGCTCGTGCTGTCCTTATGCCTCTACTCGGGTGCGATGTTGGTCACTTGTCTGATCTACCTGGTGCACACCACCCACCTGCCATTCTCTATAGACAAGGCCATCACGTATCCGCTCAGGACCACAGTGAGAAGCAGTAGGGAGTGCAGTGGTGTTCCGTAGCGGGAAGCCAATGGTGGGGAGGATCGGGAAAAAGAGACACTTGGTAGGACCAATCTGGGATGAGATGAGGCTAGGTGGGGCCAAGGAGATGGGCAGGATTAGGCATAGGAAGAATTGTGAAGGGTTTAGAAGGTAGTAATGTCATGGATGGGGGCGGCAGCTAAAGGTGGAACTTGGACAGGCAGGTGACAGCAGAGGGGTGAGGTTCATGCGGCCGTGCATGGATGGAACAGCTTAGGGGCAAGAGTGGGGGTGGAGGCTGGCGTGAAAGTGGCAAGGCCAGGGGAAGGTGTGGCGGCACAGCTCCTTAACTTGCGCGCAGCATCCTGGTGGCTGTACCTGCCACGGGCTTCTTGGTGCCACTCTTCTTGCTGCTGCTGATCCAGGCACTGTCCGTGAGCGCGGCTGAGCGCTCCCACGAGGGCAAGGTAAGCGGGGCCTTACAGCTTCAGGACCCTGGGCTGTGAGTAGTCAGTCACCTTGCGGCTCCAACCTCCACACTCCCAGCTTGCTTGTTCTATGCACCTTGCCAGGGATGATGGCCTGGCCTCCTTTGATGGTACCTCATTAGTTCTTCCAAACCCATTGCTTAAGATTCAGCTCAAATTTCACCTCCTCTTGGAGAGGAGTGGTCACTGTGTCTCTTGGTGCTCCCCTGGCACCCCTTGCAGATCCCTTCTGCTAGGCCCTGTGAGGTCTTTGAGAGATGGACATAGGGGTGAGTAAAGCTAGGTCCTGTTGCACTCATGTTGATAAGGAACTTGACATCAGACTACCACCTGCCAGATGCCTGTGAACACTCCCAGAGAGAGGCCTGCGCTAAGTTGTGTAGCTCACACTCTTAGAAGGAACTGAGATTCAGTGAGGACTGCAGGGTGGAGGCTGGACGTGTCACTTAGTGATTTTGGAGGGGCAGGAGATAGAGAGGAGGGTGTTGCAGGTGAGGAGCACAGCTTGCAAAAAAGGGAGGGAAGGCTGAAAGCCTGTGGAACATTGATGGATAGTGAGGAAACATTTCTAATGTGAGTAGAAGATGGCACGGGAAGTCAAGTTGGCTGTTTGGGGTTGGCCAGATTAGAAGAGCCCTGAAAGGCAGGTGAACAATTTAGTCTTGGTACAGTGGAAACCTGGGAACCATGGTAAGGTTTTTTAATGTCAAGTTGTTAAGATATGATTTACATACAGTAAAATTCCCCTTTTTTATTGCACTGTTGTAGGAGTTTTGATGAATGTACATAGCCCTGTAACCACCTTCATAATCAAGATTTGTATCAGTTCCACCGTTCCAAAAAGTTCCCCCTGTCCCTTTGTAGTTATCTCCTCCCCTCTCCACATTCCCTGGCAGCAATTATTTCATTCCTGTTCCCTATCGTTTTTCCTTTTCTAGATTGTCATGTGAATGGAACTGTAGCTTTTTGAATCTGGCCTCTTTCACTTAGCACAGTGCATTTGAGATTCATCCACTTAGTTGCCTGTATTGGGTGGTTCATTTTTTATTGCTGAGTGGTACTGCATTGTATGGATGTTCCACAGCTTGTTTATCTACTCACCAATGAATGATGGTTGGATTGTTTCCAGTGTTTGTCAATTATAAACAAAGCCTCTATAAACACTTGTGTACAGACTTGGGTGGGAGTCCCTGATGGGCCAAAACTGTGAGCATTCAACACCTCAGAAGAAAAGCCTAGTGATGAAAGATCACAGCTATGGAAAACCCTCTGTGCAGTTCTACTTTGAAACACATGAGAATCAACTCAATGGAACTGGTTTGGTTTATCATAGGCATGTGAACGTAAGTTTTCATTTCTCTTGGGTAAATACCTAGGACTGGCATTGCTGGATCATATAAACGTATGTTTATTTAAAAAAAAAAAAAAAGTTGAGTCGATTAGATTCATAGTGACCCTTCCTTGGGTTTCCGAGGCAGTAACTCTACGGAAGTATATTGCCCAATCTTCCTTCACTGCCAAATTGTCTTCCATAATGGCTGTATCATTTTCCCATAGCAATGTATGAAAATCCCAGTTGCTCTGCATTCTCAACAGAGCCCTGATGGCACAGTGGTTAAGCATTCAGCTGTTAACTGAAAGATCAGCAGTTTGAGCCCACCAGCCACTCCAGGGGAGAAAAATGTGGCAATCTGCTTCCTTAAAAATTAAAGCCTTGAAAACCCTATGGAGCAGGGTCTCTATGTGTTGGAATTGACCTTGACAGCAATGGGTCTGACTCCTCACCATTACTTGGCATTGTCAAGGGCTTGTTTTTCGTTTTGTTCTGTTTTAATTTTAGCGATTCTAATAGATGTGTAGCTCTGGTGGCATAGGGCCTAAGGCATTTGACTGCTAACCAGAAGACTGGCAGTTCAAACCCACCACCCACTCCTCAGAAGGATGGTTGGGCAATCTACTTCTGTAGAAAGTTTTGCCTTGGAAGAGCAAACAGGGGACGCTATGAGTAGGATCCAACTCCATGGCAGTGAGCTTGGTTTGGTGTGTTTAATAGATGTGTAGTGGTGTCAGTTTCATTTACATTTTCCTAATGGCTAATGATAGTTGTACCTAAAGCATTTGACTACTAACCAGAAGGCTGGCGGTTCAAACTCACCAGCCACTCCTCAGAAGGAAGATTGGGCAACTCCTTCTGTAGTGATACTGCCTCAGAAACCCAAGGAGGGGTCTCTATGAGTTGGATCCAACTTAACCACAGTGAGTTTGATTTTGGAATGATGGTTGAGCATCTTTTCATGTTCTTGCCATCTTATATCTTTGATGAAGTGTCTGTTCCAATCTTTTGCACATTTTTTTTTTAAATGAGCTGTTTTCTTATTATTAAGTTTTAAGAGTTCTTTTTATAGTCTGGAAACAGATATGTGTCTTGTAAATATTTTCCCCCAGTTTACAGCTTGTCTTTTCAAATATCTACAAAAGAGCAGAAGCTTTTAATCTTAATGAAGTAAAACTTATCAATTTTTTTCTTATCAGTCATATATACTTTTGCTATTGTAACTGAAAAACCTTTGCTTAACACAAGATCACAAAGATTCCCTCCTATAAGTTCTATAGTTTCAGATTTTACTTTTAGGTCTATGATTCATTGACAGTTAAATTTTTATATGGTGCAAAGGATGGGTCAATATTTATTTATTTATTTTTGCATATGGATTGTTCCAACACCATTTGTTGAAAAGTCTATCTTTCCTCCATTGAGTTGACTTTGCACAGTTGTCAAAAATCAGTTGACCACCATATATGTGTAGGGAGCTCTGGTGGCATAGTGCCTAGGGCATTTGACTGCTAACCAGAAGGCTGGTGGTTCAAACTCACGAGCCCCTCCTGAGAAGGAAGGTTGGGCAATCTACTTCTGTAGTGATACTACCTTGGAAACCCAAGGATAGGTTGCTATGAGTTGGATCCAACTCGACGGCAGTGAGTTTAGTTTTTTTTATATATGTATTATGTGTGTGTATATATATATATATATATATATATATATATATATATATATGAGCTCTGGTAGCATAGTGCCTAAGACACTTGACTGCTAACCAGAAGGCTGGCGGTTCAAACCCACCAGGCACTCCTCGGAAGGAAGGTTGGGCAATCCTACTTCTGTAGTGATACTGCCTCAGAAACCCAAGGGGGGGTCGCTATGAGTCGGCGCCGACTCGATGGCACATAACAACAACAACAACAATATATATATATATATGCAAAAAATAAACCAAACTCACTGTCAAGTTGGATCCTTTCTATTCTTTCACCAATACCCTATAGTGGTGATAATTATAGCTTTATATAGTCAGCAGTTCAAACCTGCCAGCCACTCTGAGAAAGGAAGACTGGGCAATCTACTTCTGTAAAGATTTACCACCTTGGAAACCCAATGGGGGTCACTAAGGGTCAGAATCTACTCGATGGCAGTGAGTTTTTTGTTTTGGTTTTATATAGTAAGCCTTGAAATCAGGTAACATGAATTTTTCAACTTTGTTTTTTTTCCCCCAAGGTTCTTTTAGTTATTATAGCTCTTTTGCTTTTCTATATATATTTAAAATCAGCTTGTCAATTTTTATTAACAATCTGCTGTGGTTTTCATTGGTATTGAGTTGAACCTATAGATCAGTTTGAGGAGAATTGACATGTGAACAATGTTGAGACTTTGGATCCTTAAACATGGTTGTTGTTGTTGTTAGGTGCCTCTGAGTTGGCTCTCACTCATAGCAGCCCTATATCTATATCTATATATACCTATATGCCTATATCTCAGTATAGAATGAAACACTGCCTGGTCCTGTGCCAGCCTCACAATCCTGGCTGTGCTTGAGCCTATCATTGCAGCCACTGTGTCAGTCCATCCTGTTGAGAGTCTTCCCCTTTTTTGCTGACCCTCCACTTTACCAAACATGATATCCTTCTCCAGGGAATAGGCCCTTCTGACAACATGACCAAAGTAGATGAGGTGAAGTCTAGCCATTCTTACTTCAAAGGACCATTCCAGCTGCACTTCTTCCAGGACAGATTTGTTTGTTCTTCTGGCAGGACATGGTACATTCAATAGTCTTCACCAACAACACAATTCAAAGGCATCAACTCTCCTTCAGTCTTCCTTATTCATTGTCCAGCTTTCACATGCATATGAGGTGATTGAAAATACCATGGCTGGGTTAGGCACACCTTAGTCTTCAATCTTTGCTTCTTAAGGCTCTAAAGAGGTCTTTTGCAACAGATTTGCCCAGTGCAATATGATGTCTGATTTCTGGACAGCTGCTTTCGTAGGTGTTGATAGTGGATCCAAGCTAAATGAAATCCAGGACAACATTGATCTTTTCCCCATTTATCATGATGGTGCTTATTTGTCTAGTTGTGATAATTTTTGTTTTCTTTATGTTGAGGTGTATTCCATACTGAAGGCTGTAGTCTTTGATCTTCATTAGTAAGTGTTTCAAGTCATCATTATTTTCAGCAAGCAAGGTTGTGTCATCTGCATATCTCAGGTTGTTAATGAGTCTTCCTCCAATTCTGATGTCACATTCTTCATATAGTCCAGCTTCTCAGATTATTTGTTCAGCATACAGATTGAATAAGTGTGATGAAAAGTTATAACCCTGACACACAACTTTCCTGATTTAAAACCATGCAGTAGCCCCTTGTTCTAGTCAAACTACTGCCTCTTGGTCTAGGTGCAGGTTCCTCATGAGCACTATTAAGTGTTCTAGAATCCCCATTTTTCACAATTTCATCCATAATTTGTTATGATCCACATAGCCGAATGTCTTTCCATAGTCAATAAAACAGGTAAACATCTTTCTGGTATTCTTTGCTTTCAGCTAAGATCCATTTGAGATCAGCAATGATATCCCTCATTTCATGTCCTCTTCTGAATCCAGCTTGAATTTCTGGAAGTTCCCTGTCAATATACTGCTACAATTGTTTTTGAATTATCTTCAGCAAAATTTTATTTGCATGTGACGTTAATGATATTGTTTGTTAAGTTCCAAATTTTGTTGGATCACCTTTCTTTGGAATGAGCACAAATATACATCTCTTCCAGTCAGTTGGCCAGGTATTTGTCTTCCAAATTTCTTGACATACACAAGTAAGCACCTTTCAGTGCTGCATCCGTTTGCTGAAATATCTCAATAATTACTCTCTAAGTTCCTGGGGCTTTGTTTTTTTCCATTTCCTTCAGTGCAACTTGGACTTCTTCCTACAATACCACACAACAGCATCTGAAACTGAGCCCACCATCTTCCCCATCCTCTTGTGGCTCAGCCTCCTCTGCTTTTTTGGGCTGCTGCTCTTTCAGAAGTACTTCAGAGTCTTGTCCTGGACTGCCTATTTTTCTCACTTAATCCCTCTCTGTGCTGCCCAAAGCACTCTCACAGTACCTAGGGTCCTGTGTTGTAGCTGCCCTCACCACCCAGAAAATTAAGGCTGGTCATGTTGTTTGAAGGAGCTCTGGTGGCTTAGTGGGTAAGGCATTTATTTGGGTGCTAACCAATAGGTCAGTGGTTCAAACCCACCAGCTTGGGAGGAAGAAGAGGCAATCTACTTTAGTAAAGATTTACAACTTTGGAAACCTAATAGGGGTCACTATGAGTTACAATTGACTTGATGGCAGTGGGTTTGTTGAAAGAAGCCCTGGTGACATCACGGTTAAGCAGTAGGCTGCTAACCAGAAAGCTGATGATGGTTTGGACCCACCCAGCAGCTCTGTAGGAGAAAGACCTGGCAATCTGCTTCCATAAAGATGACAGCCTAAAACCCCTATGGCCCATTCTACTCTGTCACATGGGGTCACTATGAGTCAAAAATCAACTCAACAACACCCAACAACAACAATGTTGTTTGAGATTGTGTCCTCAATTCCCAGTGTGGTGCCTAGAACACTGTAGGGGCCCCAAAATCTTTCTGAATGAGTGAAATAACACAAAAATGAACCAATAATGCTTTGGGAGAGAAAGAAAAAGAAAAGAAGCATGATGACCTGATGCCTGAGGAGACGGGAGGTCGATGGGAGGCAGCGGGGAGTTAGGTAGGAGGTGTCCACTTTGATTTTGGTCCTGTGGAGTGTGAGGGCATTTGAGACACAGAACTGGAGTAGGAGGTGCAAGACTAGAGCCAGTGAGAAAGTGCAATTTGGAAGCTTCAAAGCTGTTGGAGTCTGTTCGTGTCTGAGAGGGTCCTATGTGTGGAGAAGAAGGAGCTCTACATTTTTTGTCAGTTCATACACATTTATTAAACAACTATCATTCCTTTAAGCATTGGACAATCAACATTTTTCATCTACAACTCACAAATCAAAATTTATTTTCCTAAACTTAAAATTCTCATTGCAAATGTAATCAACCTCTTCTAAACATTTAATTGAAATCAGGAATAGAATACCAGCATCTCTTAAATGCTTTATACACCTCAGGATGAAGGCAGAGCCCAAAACATCACAATGGTTAGTGTTGCTTTTCAGCAATGATGGGATATTCCAGAGCCATGTTGATTTTTCCTGCATGGAGTCCCGGTTCATTTTGGTGAAGAATAGTGTGACGATCATAGTCTTCGTGACTGGAGCATGGGGCAGGAGAGTTGATGGTGGACAGGGTGCTGCTGGGACATTTTAGGTCATGACAAAACATTTTATAGCTAAGGTTTTTGAACTTGGGGGTGAGGCTTGGTCTGCACTGGGAGGAAGAGAGGTTCAGGAAGAAGAAGCAAGGTAGGCAGATAGAGAGCGTGGGATGTGAAAGAGGAGAACCTGGTCAACAGTGTCCTGGCTGCAAGATCAGGGAAAGATTTGACGTCAAGGTTTGAGCTTCACTGAGCTTTGTGCACAAGGGCTTCAACCCAGATTTTCTGGAGCTATCTGGTTTTGGTTAGGGAAATGTGATTGGGCCCTCACACAACTGCCCTTCCCTATAGCTAAATTTAGTGATGGCACAAGTTTAGGGGAAAAAATGACATGGGAAAGTGGAAAAGTTTGGGTGGAACACCAGGCTGCTGTAACAAAGTACCACAAATTGAATGGCTTCACACAACTATCTGGAGTTCTGAAATTTCTGGAGTTCTGGGATCTAGGAGTCTGACTTCAGGATTTTGGCAGTGCCATGCTCTCTCTGAAGGCTCTTTCTTGTCTCTTCCAGCTTCTGGTATAAGTGTTCCTTTACCTGTAGTTGCAGCATCATTCTATCTCTGCCTCGTTGTCACGTGCTGTCTTCCCTCGCTGTCACGTGTGTCTGCGTCTCTTCTCTTCTTTTATTAGGACACCACTCATATAGAAGCTCTAGTAGCATAGTGCCTAAGGCACTTGACTGCTAACCAGAAGGCTGGCGGTTCAAACCCACCAGCCACTCCTTGGAAGGAAGGTTGGGCAATCTACTTCTGTAGTGATACAGCCTCAGAAACCCAAGGAGTGGTCCCTATGAGTTGGTCTGACTCGAGGAGGGCATATAACTACGTATTGGATTAGGACACACCCTACTCCAGTATGACCTCATGTTAACTTAACTGATAACATCTTCAAAGATCCTATTTCCAGTTAAGGTCACATTCACAGGTACTGGGGGTTAGGATTTCAACTTCTCTTTTGAGGGGACACAAATGAATCTGCAATAGGAGGGATGTAGAGAAGCAGAAGAGGTAGAAGCAGTGTGAGGGTTCACCTGAAGAAAGCTCTTCAGAAGTGGGATGAGGGAAGGCTGCTTTGCCTGGAAGTTGGGAGAGAGAAGAGGCCTTGGCTCACTCACAGACATTGTCACGTCGCACTCCATATCCCCCACCACAGTCTTGTTGCAGCCCGGGGCTGGTATGTCTGGCTCAGAAAGGGCCTATGGCCTGCTCAGTTCTGCTGGCTCTGAGTCCCTCTTCCCACCCCTCCCTGCTCCAGTGTAGCTATCTACACGGATACAATCCCTTCGATGGAGGCTGTGCCAGCAACTGGTATTTAACAATGTGTGCACCGCTGGGACCCAAGTGAGTTAGCAAAACAGGGTCCTGGGGTTGGTGGGGTGGGGTGAAGCTGGATTTTGCCTCCCCTAGCCCCTTAGCACATTGTCCTTCTCTTTTGGGATTTCTTCTGGAACCTCCCCACTTGCCTCTTTGGTTCCTTTTCCCCAAGGAATGGGGTGGAGAGCATCGTAGCCTGGATGTGCTGGCCTTGGCTCTCTGTAGGACTAAGCTCCAGGCTGTGTGTTCTCCAAGCTGAGGGGAACAGTGGGAGGCCAGGCTGGGGAAGCTACAGCCTCTTGCATCTGGCCTATTGCTCCCCAGGTACATGGCCAAAGCCATCTGGCTGCAGAGAGTGCTGGGACATGACTGGGTGCCCCTGCAGAACCTGCACTCACCAACGTGCCCCTTTGCACCCAGTTCCCCGAACCTCCCTGGGCCTAGCCCCCAGCCCCAAACTCTGAATCTCTATAAACCAAGCAAGGGGGTCCCAGGGAGTGGAGAGGCTTCAGCTCTCCAGGAGGTGAGATATGAAAGTGTGTGTGTGTATGTGTGTGTGTGCGTGTGCACGCATATGTGTTTTGGTAGAGGGCATCTACGGATTTTGCAGGTGTTGGAGGAAGCCCCCAGAAGGTGAGTTGGCCCTAAAGCTGGAGCACCCAGAGCTTGGGGGACGGAGGTTATAGACCTGGAGTAGTGCTGGAAGAAGGGTCAAAGGCCTCCAAAATATGCTCAAGGTGCCTGGAGACACGAAGGGAAAAAGCTGTGGGCTAGTCATTGACCCTCTGGGCCTCAGTTTCCTCAGCTATTAATGAGGCAGTATGACCACCCAATAGTTTACAATGTGGGGAAGAAGGATTCCTTTATTTAAGTGAAAATTTTGCTCTGAAGCCCAATAAATGGAAATGGGGAATTAGGAGTGAAGTGAGCATGGGTACCTGCAGCTCCTGACCCCCTTGCAGTGACATTCCATGATGCCAGCCCACCCCTTTTGCTTCCTTAGAGGGAAGTTTAGGCAGTTTCTTGCTTCCTAATGGGTGGCCAGAGCAGCGGTTTGGGGAGAACCTCCATCCCCCCTCTGTCTTTAGCTCCATGCCAGCCCAATGTTGCCCCTGCTGCAGGAGGCCCCCAGATGAGGGCCAGCCTCATCCTTCCTGTCACCTCTTCACACTCAGCGTTTCCAGGAGCACCTGCACCAGAATCTCACTTCTTGAGCCTCACGTGAAGACCTCTCTGTGCCCTGCCCTTGTCCACTCCCCTGGAGGGAGTGCTGAGACACACCCCTTCATGCACATTAAACACACTTTGCTTACCTCTTTCAGCCATCCTGCTGTGTGTGTCTGTCCTGGATGCCAGGAACACGGGGCGGCAGGGCAGGCTCTGAGGGGCTAGGAGGAAAGAATGAGGACCTGGCACTGGCAGCTCTGTGACCTTGGGCAAATCAATTAACATTTCTCTCAGTCCTTAAAATGAGGCAATGATAGTAACCACAGTAGCTGGCCTGGCCCATCTCCCATCTAGGGCTAGAGATGAGGGAACAGAAAACCTACCATCAGCTTTGAGGAAAGACCAGGCCTCCTGCCCTGCCGCACCCCTATCTGGCTGCAGGGGGCGCCCACTGCCTGGGAATTCACCATCCTAGTTCTGTCCAGCTGCCTGTGCTGGAGCTTTGCCAGTGAGCTGGGGCTGGCCCAAGTCTGCCTCATTCCCGGGCCATGGGGTAGGAGCTGCTCTCCACCACAATCCAACCTGACATCTTTCCTGAGCCTTCTAACCAAGTCTTACCCTGGTCCCTCCCTCCTTGTGGGGAGTCAGGTGCTGGTTCTGGTCCTCTCCCTATAATGGATCCCAACTCTGTGAGCCTGCAAACCCCTAGGGACAAGGGTGGGTAGGGAAATCACTTCAAACTGTGGCCAGCGTGTGACAGGGAATAGGAAGGATGTCAGAAGGTGAAATGAGGTGGTCTGAGCAGAGCACCTGGCACGAAACAAGCACACAAGGAACAAAGCAGGCATCGTTCGGATTATTTTCTCCAACACTTGGCTGACAGACCACCCAGAGCTAATCCAAGTACCAGCAACTCAGAGTTACCTGGGCCAACATCAGACCACCGAATCAGAATCTTGGCCTGAGGTTAAAAAACAAAACAAAACAAAAAAAAAAAACAGCGTCACTGCCATCGAGTCAGATCCAACTCTTAGCAACCCCTCCTTGGGTTTCTGAGGCAGTATCACTATGGAAATTGATTGCCCAACCTTCCTTCCGAGGAGTGGCTGGTGGGTTTGAACTGCCAGCCTTCTGGTTAGCAATCAAATGCCTTAGGCACTACGTCACCAGTGCTCCCCCAAATGCCTTAGATGCTCTAAGTTTTAATAAAGGGCCCCGTATGATTTCACCACAACAAAGTTTCAGAAGCTGCCTTTGGAGCTCAGGATGGCGCAAACCAGTTTGCTCCCACCACCATTGCTTCCAGGTGATATCAGAGTGTATGATGTGGAGTGTGTGTGGGTGTATGCAGGTGGAGAAGGAAGGATGAACATCCTCTGAGGGCTTGCGGAGAGCACGTCTCTGTATGTGCACATGCATGCCTACTTGTGTGAACAAGGAATAAGCTCTTGTGGGGGATGGAGGGTGGTGTCAGCCCCGCCCCTGTCTTTCCCACCCGGCCTTGGGAGGTAGGTTACCTAAGATGCAGGACATCTCTCTAGTCCTCCAGTCCATTGATGCTGCCCCACCTGTCTCTGGAGGCTTCAGGCCCTTCCCTGTCCTGGTCCTAGCCTCTCTACCCTCTCTGGCTCTGGCTGTCTGGGCTTCTATCTGGCTCAGCTCTTTGGTCAACCCCTGGGACTCCAACTCACTCCCCTTTTTCTTGGTTCCTGTCTCTCCCCAGTCCCAGTTCCCTTGGTGTTCAAGACGTTTTTCAGCCATACAAAAAAAAAAGAAAAAAAAAAGCCCACCTAAATTCACTGCCATCAAGTAGATTCTGACTCACAGCAATCTCTCCTTGGGTTTCCAAGGTGGTAAATCTTTATGGAAGTATATCTCCCCACCTTCCTTCCGCAGAGTGGCTGGTGGGTCTGAACTGCCAACCTTCTGGTTAGCAGTCAAATGCCTTAGGCACTGTGCCACCAGAGCTGCTTTTTCAGCCATATATCTGTTGAACTCAGAAACCCTTGGGGCATCAGGGTATTTGTTTGTGTAGGAAAAGGTAGCAGCCTGCTTTGGCCTTGTGCAAATGGCTGCAGTGACCACACTTAACCCTCTTTGCTGTTGTTAGCTGCCCTGGAGTTGGCCCTCAATTCACAGCGAACATGTGCACAGCAGAATGAAATACTGCCCGGTCCTGTGTCATTCCCATGACGGTTGCTGATTAGACCCTTGTGATCCACAGGGTTTCCACTGGCTGGTTTTAGGAAGTAGATCATCAGTCCTTTCTTCCTAGTCTGTCTTAATCTAGAAGCTCCAGTGAAACCTGTTTAGCATCATAGCAGCACAGAGACCTCCACTGACAGATAGTGGTGGCTGCACGTGGAATGGAACATCTGGGAATTTACATTCACATAAAGCTGAAGCAGCCTCCCTCTGTCTGGGAAGCTCACCATTCATGGCCACATGGAGTGGGGGGTACAGACGGAGATGAGTCCTTTTGTGCTCTTGAGCCCAAGTCTATGTGTGTGACTGTGTGTGCCTGGTCTGTGTGTTCTGGAGGGCACAGGTTGGTCCAGCAGTGAGGAGAGGCAGCTGAGTGAGGTGCCCACAACACTCCTAGGCCCACCCCCAAGTGGTAGTCCTCTGAGAAACCTGGGCCTGCCTCAGAGAGGAAGAGGGTCCAGAAACTGGGCTAAGGCTTGGATGTAAATCCTGGTGAGGGGGATGCTCACGAAACTGGCTGGGTGGGGAGTGGCTCCTGTTCGGGCTCCCAGGGCATGGGAGGCTGAGAAGGCCAGGTGCCGGTGTCTGCAGTGGCCTCTCCCTACTGGCTGCCCCTGCTGCCCTGCCTGTTCAGAAGCAGGTTGGCTACATCGTCAAGACTACATTTACTGGGACAATACCTCCAGGTATGCAAGGGATCACCCAGTCTCAGGCAGGGACCTCCCACGTCCTAAACCACACATGAGTCATCTCCCTCTGATACCCTGGGCCTCAATTTCCCCATTGGGTGAGGACATAACTTTCCTCAGACTCAGAGAAGGCTGTGACCTATCAAAGGCAAAGACTTCTGCTCTGGGATGTAGAGTTTGGGCCTCTCTGGTCCCTCCGAGCCTGGGATGTCTAGGGTTTCTTTGGGAAAGTCCCTTGGATCATGCTCTCTGCTACTCAAGGGGTAAGTGGAACTAACTCACCCCTTATTTGACAGCCTCCCACCCCCTAAGCTTTGGGCTCCTCTAGGGGTTTCTTTCATGCCAGGCCAGGAGGCCTTAGTTGAGCTGTACCCACCTTCTCTTCCTGCCCCCTCCCTGTTTCTACTGAATCTGCCCTTGATTCTCAGATGCACCCCACCCAGTCCCTGGTCCACTGATAAGGGCAGGGGTGTTATCAGGGTCTGGTTGTGGCACCAGCTCTCCACACACCCAGGAAGCCCTGTCATCCCTGCCTTTTGTGGCCCACAACCAAGGGAGACCCTCAACCCTGCAGCTACCAGGTTCCCTCATGCCTGGAGGCCCTCCAAGAGGTCCCCAGCCTCTCCAGCCTCCACGAGTCTTCTAGAAGGTCAGGGTATTGTAGGATGGGAAGAGCAATGGTCTGGGTGACAGGAGACCTGAGTGTCATGTAGCTCTGCCACCAACTGAGGTGGCAGTTGGAGCAAGTCACTTCCTTCTGCTGTGCCTCGATTTGTTCATCTGTAAGTAGGAGTGATAATCATAACCACTTCATAGGTGATCACAGGATCCAAACTGTTTAGAGCTGAAAAGAACAGTGGGGTCACCTCATCCAACTTCCCCTCACAGATGGGGACTCTGAGGCCCCGAGAGGGAAATAATTGCCTAGGATAACACAGAGGTAGCATGTCTGGCAGGGGCTCTCTGTTTCCTTAGACTGCTTCTCCTAGGAAAGGCCCACTCTCCAGCCCCACCATCAGAGCCAGGCAATGCATTTCATCACAGACCCTGGGGAGCTGATAACAAGGCCAGGCTTAACTGTCTCCAGTCCTGTGCTGGGAGCGATAATGTTGCCCTGCCCTGCTGCTCAGCCCTGCCCTGCCCTATTCTGCTGCCACACCCAAGGGGGCCCTACAATTTTCCTCCTTGGGTTGAAGGTGGAGTAGGGCAGGGGTAGTAGGAGGCAGGGAAAATTTTCCTGAGCTTTTGGGGCCCAAAATCCTAATGCTTCACAGGCATAGGTACCTCACTGACCCTACTGGGCACCAGGGCACCGTGTCCAGCACCAGGAGATGCTTTGTCAGTGCCCCGATCCCTTCTCTTTAATTCTTAGCATGGCACATGGCAAAAGGAAGCAGACCCAAGGGCTGGAGCCTTGGCAAGGAGAATTGACGCTCATCTCTCTGGGCTTTGGGCCCCTTGTTCTAGGAAATGAAACCTTCATGAAGCGCTGCCTGGGCCAGGCTCTTTGCTAAGTGCTTCATATTATCTCATTTAATCCTCACAACAACGCTATGAAGTTGTTACCATTACTATCCTCATTTTAAAGATGAGGAAAGATGTCCTGAGCAAATAAATAACTTCCCCAAAAGCATACTGTTTCTAAGGGTCAGAGCCAAAACCCCTTTAGCCCTTTACCATTTCACTGTGTTTCTACTGGTGGTTATCATTTTATTTCAATACAGTGTTGTGGTTAAGATGTGGGCTCTGAAGCCAAACTGTGTGGTTTCCCCAACTGTAAAATGAGATTAGTAATAGGCATGGTTATCAGGATTAATTATGCAGTGCATGTGAAGAGCTTGGCACAAGGACTGGCATATAGTAGGTGCTCAGACAATGTAGTGATTGCCATGACATTATAATTGAAAGGGCCCATGAGTCAGGGTGCTGTGATCTGCTCAGTGCCTTGGGATGCTGGTTCCCATGAGAATAGCCGCCTGCTCCTGCCCAGCCTGGTGTGGGCTCCCTTGTGGCTGGTGGCAAAGCTGAAAGGTACTAATGCATGGGAAGCTTTGAGCTATTGCTTTGCAGAAGGT